CCCATAAGAGAAAGGAATTAGTAACGAGGTTGTCCAGTTGAAGCGTTAGTCTGGTCGGAATTAAGGGTCACTTGTGTAGCCTGAAATGGATGGGGGATTACCCTCGAGATAAGTGAACTGTGTCAAAGAGGTCATAATGGTGTGTGTGTGTGTGTGTGTGTGTGTGTGTGTGTGTGTGTGGTTGAATACCTAAAGGGCTTATGACTCTACATCACTTCAAGGGGTTAAGTCATCGTACTTAAGGCTTCAGATAACATGCAGCTCAATCCACTCTCCAGGGAGGCAGGAGGGAGGAGGGAGTGGGGGACGGAAGATAACACGTCACCACTAAGATAACATCCTTCAACACTTAGATAACATCCTTCAACACTAAGATAACACCGTCACCACTAAGATAACACCGTCACCACTAAGATAACACCGTCACCACTAAGATAACACCGTCACCACTAAGATAACACCGTCACCACTAAGATAACACCGTCACCACTTAGATAACACCGTCAACACTAAGATAACATCCTTCAACACTAAGATAACACCGTCACCACTAAGATAACACCGTCACCACTAAGATAACACCGTCACCACTAAGATAACACCGTCACCACTAAGATAACACCGTCACCACTAAGATAACATCCTTCAACACTAAGATAACACCGTCACCACTAAGATAACACCGTCACCACTAAGATAACACCGTCACCACTAAGATAACACCGTCACCACTAAGATAACACCGTCACCACTAAGATAACACCGTCACCACTAAGATAACACCGTCACCACTAAGATAACACCGTCACCACTAAGATAACATCCTTCAACACTAAGATAACACCGTCACCAATAAGATAACACCGTCACCACTAAGATAACACCGTCACCACTAAGATAACACCGTCACCACTAAGATAACACCGTCACCACTAAGATAACATCCTTCAACACTAAGATAACACCGTCACCACTAAGATAACACCGTCACCACTAAGATAACACCGTCATCAGTAAGATAACATCCTTCAACACTAAGATAACACCGTCACCAATAAGATAACACCGTCACCACTAAGATAACACCGTCACCACTAAGATAACACCGTCACCAAAAGATAACACCGTCACCACTAAGATAACATCATTCAACACAAAGATAACACCGTCACCACTAAGATAACATCATTCAACACAAAGATAACACCGTCACCACTAAGATAACACTGTCACCACTAAGATAACACCGTCACCAATAAGATAACACCGTCACCACTAAGATAACATCATTCAACACAAAGATAACACCGTCACCACTAAGATAACACCGTCACAATTGCTTCATCAGAGACAAATGAACACAACAGATGACGAGGTAACAGTCAGACTCCCTCCACCACACAACCTGTCCGACTCATTACTCTCCCTCACCTGATAACATCTTGAAGGAGAGGGTGAGGGGTGGGAGAGGGAGAGGGTGGGAGAGGGAGAGGGTGGGGTGGGTGGGAGGGTGAGGGTGGGAGGAGGGAGGGGTGGGAGGGTGGAGGGGTGGGAGAGGGAGGGTGGGGAGGGTGAGGGGTGGGGAGAGGGAGAGGGGTGGGAGGGTGGGGAGGGGTGGAAGAGGGAGGGGGAGGGTGGGGAGGGGTGGGAGAGGGAGAGGGTGGGGAGGGTGAGGGGGGAAGAGGGGAGAGGGTGGGGAGGGGTGAGGGGTGGGAGAGGGAGAGGGTGGGAGGGTGAGGGGGTGGAAGAGGGAGAGGGGTGGGAGGGGAGGGGTGGGAGGGGAGAGGGGGGAGGGGAGGGGGGGAGAGGGAGAGGGGGAGGGTGAGGGGTGGGGAGGTGGGAGGGGGAGGGTGAGGGTGGGGAGGGAGAGGGTGGGAGGGGTGATGAGAGGGAGAGGGGGGAGGGTGAGGGTGGGAGAGGGAGAGGGTGGGAGGTGAGGGGTGGGAGAGGGAGAGGTGGGAGGGTGAGGGGGTGGGAGAGGAGAGGGTGGGAGGGTGAGGGTGGGGAGAGGGAGAGGTGGGAGGGGTGGGGAGGGTGGGAGAGGGAGAGGGTGGGAGGGTGAAGGGTGGGAGAGGGAGAGGGTGGGAGGGTGACGGTGGGAGAGGGAGAGGGGGGAGGGTGAGGGGTGGGAGAGGGGAGAGGGTGGGAGGGTGAGGGTGGGAGAGGGGGTTAAATGGAGAGGAAGGTGAGAGGTGGGAGAATGGGAGGGGAAGAGGGGAGAGAGAGAGAGAGAGAGAGAGAGAGGGGAGAGAGAGAGAGCAGAACCTTGGCTAAATTAATTCACAGATCACAGACAAGATACTAAATTGATGTCGTTATGTGGGTTTAGAGTGTGGGGTAGATAGGGGAGGTGGGGAGATAGGGGAGGTGTGGGGGAGATAGGGAGGTGTGGGGAGAGTAGGGAGGTGTGTGGGGAGATAGGGAGTGTGTGGGTAGATAGGGGAGGCGTGGGGAGATAGGGAGGGGAGATAGGGAGCAAGTGGGTTCGTTGAGTTTATAA